ACTCCTGGGCCCGGGGTAGAGCTCAAGGCTTGGAATCAGGAATAGATTCCTTTAAGGGAATACAATCAAGAGCCTAGAATCATACTAGTCTTGACCTGTCACACAGGGGCTACCGCACGTTCTGTATATGCTGAAGGGACTGTCTCAGCAGACCCCTAGTAGCAACACCCTGTTAAAGTAGGTATCCAGAGGATACATAGGTGGAGTAGTGCCCAAGGCGGAACCTGGGTTTTATACCACTCAGAAAGAGCATGAAGCTGTTGCGCGTAGTTCTTACCATACAGGATTCTAGAAAAGAACGCAGAGTACTAGCGTGCGAACTTACCACAGTGTGGATTTTAGAAAGTGTACAAAGACTTCACATGCACACTTACCATAACATGGATTTTAACAATACCGTTCTAAGAAGTTCTCGTGGCACTCTGAAAGAGCAGCCCATAGATGGAAAATGGTGCATCCCAAAATGCTATTATTTGAGAAGTCATCAACTCGATCTCAAGGCTTATAATGCTTGAGTGGCTAGCAGTAAATCTGTAGCTGAGGGAGCAAACATCCAGCTCTCAATCGAGAAGGAGCTCGACCTACAGCATGTTCCAAAGGTGGAACAGCTAGCAGTTACTTAGCTGAGGGAGCAACACCCCTAGTTCTCAAACGAGAGGAGGCTCGACCTACAGCATGTTCCAATGCTGGAACGGCTAGCAGTAGTTTTCCTAGGCTGAGGGAGCACAAACCCAGCTCTCCCGAGAGGGGGCTCGACCTGCAGCATGATTGTAAAATCAGAAGGGGAAGCATACTGCAAGCTAGCCAAACACTCAGCGCATCAGAGAGGCAGAGGAAGGGCCTAATTCGCCTGATGCTGCTGGTTCCAGGTGCTCTGGAAAAACAAAGAACTCAACTTCTCAAGTGAGAGGAGAACTCTGAATTCAGAGGAATAGTGTGCTCATTCCAGGTAACCCTTTGATAAAAGGGGAGCACTGCTCAACACTACCACGAGAACAGCCCATGGAGCGAGGAATCCAACTCCTCAGAGAGAATTAATCGCTCGAAAGAAAGCACCATGCTCACAATAACTCTCCATGGTGAGGGGAGCGATACTTCCAGAGTGTGTTGACAGAGACACACTAGATGAGTGGAGCCCAAGGTACCGGGGTCTAAACCAACTCAGAGAAAGGGAATGAGGTTAATAATGCGTAACCCTTACCATACAGGATTTCAGAAAAGTGGGCAAAGCATAACGTGCACGCACACCACTTATGTGGATTTTAGAATGTGGGCAAAGCATAACGTGCACACTTACCCGCTATGTGGATTTTAGAAAGTGCGCAAAGCATAACGTGCACACTTACCACTTATGTGGATTTTTAAGTGTGCACTTACCATAGTATGGATTTAGTGTTTTCCAAGCATCTGTTTACAGATACCTGGAAGTACTGGGCCAAACGGGAGAGGCAAGCTCAAATACAACCCTCTAAGGTGAGGGGAGCACTGCCTGAGACAGCATTACACAAGCGAGCATTCAAGCGAGATGTAATCTGAAGGGGCCTGGATGGCAAGGAGGGAGTTTTGAGAGAAGATGTCTCACCCATAGAGAGATAGCTGGCTAGTGTCTCTTCTACTGGGGGCATCCTCTCATAGCCGTTTTCACGCATCGCCTCAATGTTGGCATAACTGGTATGCTGGAACCGATTGATGTGTGAGGAAAACGGCCTCTTCCATTCCTTCTCGATCTCAGTATGGAGATCAGGAAGGAAAGGAAGGCTCACCTGAGCTGGAGGGCTATGGCCAGAAAGATAACGTTCATCGAGAAGACCTTGCAACGTCACTTCCTTAGTCCGCTTCCATGGCAAGTCAAGCCTCGTCGTGGCGCGATCCATAACTTCCAAGAGCTCATCATACGCAGGGCAGGAGGATTGGGAAGGCTCAGCCTCAGCTTCTTCGCCCTCCTTCAGACATTTCCTGCTTTTCCTGGGCTGAACCCAGCAGAGCACTGGCCCCTGGATCAGATGTTGTTAAAGAAATAACATCATCCTCCAGCGGCTCATTCTCGTCCACAGCCGACGAGCGCGAGAGGAAAAGCCCCTCTTTAAATTCAACGGCCAGGTCCACCTGCGATCCCCACGAGCTCATTCTCCTCCGTGCCTCAGCAGTGGCGGGTCCTGAACTGCGGGGAAGCAGATGGCTGCCCCTCTTTACTTGGAAAAAAAGAGACAAACGAGAACGTTATCATTGGAAAACGCTCGCAGTGCACGCAGATTGCCCCCTCGAGGACATCGCGTGTGTGCTCTTCGCCCAAACAAACAATGCATAGATCGTGTGTGTCATCGGGTGTCAAATAGCGATGACACGGATGCACACATCTTCTAAACGCTTTGCTAGTGCTCGCCATAATAAATGAAAGAGATCACTCTTACCACGGAAATGCACACTTCAAACAAAACAGTCAGTGAAGACGAAGAAGAGGATGATGTGTTCTCCCGGACCTATTTATACTATAGTCGCACCGGCAGTGACGTCATGGCTGTCGCCGGCCAACGTATTGTTGGTGTTTTTTCAATGTATGCCTCAGACATGGGTCACAACGAGGCATTCCCCATAGTGACCCCTAGAGGATGCAGTTCGAAGTTCCCATGAAAGGGAACTGGCTTGCAGATGAAACAGCATCACAGTTGAGCTAGCTAGCATCATGATAACCTCTTAAATTGTTAGTGAAATGGTGTTAGCTATCTTACATTTAGCATATCTGATTTACTGGCTACTGTATAGACACATTTTGATTTAGTGTTTGCTAGTTAAACTTTAATACTGTAGATCAAATACATTTACCCTATAGTAATATCATCTAAAATTACTTGACTGAATGTAGTCTTTGGGCTCAAATGCAGCAATGTGGCTTCAATAGTCCTGCTGTAGATTCTAGAAATGATATGTGGATGCGATTGAGGAATGCGCAGGGTAGAAATTCATCTGCATTGCAGTGCAATTTGCATTAAATCTGGTTGCCTTAACCAAGATTATGATGCAAGATTTTTTTTCCAATGAAACCCTATTTAAGTTTCCTGTTATAGACTAACCTGCAATTTTGTAAATGTGTAGTTTATTCCCATTAATTCCTGTCAATTCCCATATATTCCTATGGAATGTTTCCTACTTTAAAAATTCCTGGAATTTTGCAACCCTAGTACCAGTTATAAATAATGGTTAGAGTGCAGCTGTGTAACCCTCAGACTGTGATTGGCAGGGAATGACAGCTCTTCACTGGGCTTCTTTCCATAACCGACCGGAGCATGTGCAGGCCCTGCTGCAGAAAGGAGCCGACCCCACGCTTGTGGACAAAGACTTCAAAACAGCTCTACACTGGGCTGTGCAGGTACAATTCATAAACAAATACATAATTCTGAAGCGCTACTTCAGTTTTCTTACATACAACATATTCTACAGCAATATATATTTTTAAGTACACTTCTGTAATAACTCTGCTCATGTCTGTTCAATTAAAAAGTCAACATTTTCTACCCAGGAACTTCCGAGCTTCTATCCATCTACCAACAGCTCATCTTTGCTATACTCTCTACTGTAAATTAGCACCAACGAGCTGTTCTTTAATATGTGTTGGTCTGAGAAGAGAGAGATCACAGAAAGTGATACAATACTTGAGTATCACCAGTATATTGCCATGGACAATGGTCATATGTACAGTTAACAGTCATAAAAAATGGTCCTTTGCTTTTCTGGAGTAGCCTGACTTAATTTGAACCACAATTTGGGTCAATTTACTGTAACAAATGGGTCAAGACACATTTACTGTTGTGTGTTATGTGCTGTGAATGCTCCACAGACTTCCCCATGAATTCAGACACACATCCTCACCCACCGCTATTACAGTAATTGTACTTGTACTTATTACAAGTAATTGCACTTTCATCATTTAGTGTATAGTA